AAAACAGCCGCAATTTACGGTGCGCCAACGTCGTCCTCCCCCTTTTTATGACATGTCATGCTAGTAACCCGGCGACCAAGAAGCAGCCAAAGCTGCTCCTTGAAACCATCGACACGGCGCCGTCCGCATTCGTGCTGCAGCACCTCGGACCAGACATCCCGCGCAAGCCGACGCCCAAGCCCCGTCGACGCCACGTCCCAGCCCTCGCCGCGTCGGCCTCGGCTCCGACCCGTACGTCTCCTCTTCTCACCTCAATTGCGACGCGATTGACTGGTATTTCCAGTGTCCAAACCAATCAAGCTGCGCCGGGCATCGTCGCTTCGATTTGAAAAGATGTTGGCAAGTGCACCGAGCCTCGACAGCATCATCGGAATGCCGCTGACCACAACTGCGGTACCGGTGGCGGGAAGTCCCGAGAAGACGCTCGCTCGCTTTGAAGCGATGATCGCCGACCGACCGCTTAAGGCCGCGTCGCAGAAAAAACCAGAATCGAGTGCATCGCGACAGGGCTCTGGCAACGTCACGCACGTCGTACTGCCTGCTGTCACCACCACCACCACCACCAGCAGCGTCAGCAGCAGTCCGCCCAAGCCTCTGAAAGCCCTCAAGTCTCCAGCGCCCGGTGTCAAGGACACGGTCGACGCGGATCGTCGCATCTTGCTCCAGCCGCTCTTTGGCCCGTACCCGCGCGACCACGTGCTTGAAGTGTGCCGCATTTTCGTCCGCATCGACGTCGACAACAGCGGAGTCATTGAGACGAGCGAGTTTGTGGAGAAGTTGTCGCAACTCGAAGGCGACGACTGGCGCGACGCCCTGAACACGTACAACTCTTCCATTTCGATCACGTGGTGGAGCTAGGGGTAGGGTCTTCCGCGACCTCGACCAGGACCACAACGGCATGCTGGACATGCCCGAGCTCCTCAAGGTACTGGTCGATACAGAATGTATTACTAGTAGAATCCTGTCTAGGCCATGTTTCCCAGAGCGTCGACCCGCGTGCAGGACGAGATGCTGCAGTTTGCGCGGCTCGCGGTGGCTTCCGAGCGGCACGAGAAGGCCAAGGTCCGAGAACTGAGCCCGAAGGCGCTGGCGGACATCACAGCGCTCTTCCACCTCTTCGACGTCGACAACAGCGGCGCGATCGAGCCGGTCGAGCTCCTCCGCGAGTTCAAAGCCAACGAACGCCGCTTCTACGACAAGCATCCCGAGCGCAGCATCGCCGATCGGTGGCAGCTCGCCGACATTGTCAAGATCTTTCAGCAGTACGACGCGAACGCCAACGCGAGCTTAGAACTCGACGAGTTCATTGAGCTCTTCCGCGACAGCTTTTAAAAAACCTTTTGAAAAATGGTCCAAAATCGACTTATAGCGGAATTGACGTTTGGTTTAAACCCGTTTGAGTGCACACGTGTCGTCTTCGCCCTCGGTGGCCACGCGGGTATAGGCTACCGCTTGGCGGCGACAGCGCCGCACGCAGCCGCCCACCACCGCCGCAAGTGCCACGACAACCACGACAGCCACAAGGCACACCGATGCAGCATCGTTTTTGCGCTGCATGTCGACCGTCTCGTCGCCT